GAGCTGCCTCGGCTGGTTTCTACAGTCAACAGCAAGCTGCAGCAACTTTCAGATGCCCTGAAAGATTATGTCTTGAACGATACTAGAATTTGTCCATCAAATACATAGCCTGGTTTCTGGACCTTCTTATTTTCACACAGAAAAGGTGTATGTGTAGAAGAGAATTACAACATACTGTTTCGCACCAGGGTTGTGTCAGGTGGATGCTCCCTGCACACCACCAGGCAGGATACAGTAGCATGCCTCACCTTGGACTGGAACATTTCATGATTGGTCATTCCTGCCTACACCACACCACTAGACACCTTGCTATTTAAAAATAACTAATAATCCAGTAAGTATCAATTCACCCCAAGGTGAATCATTCCCTAATTCCTCTTTTTGCCGTGCTTCCTTAACCAGCTCTGAATTTTGCCAATGAGTTTGACAAGTGCGCTGACATTTCTGGTACACAACAAACCCAGATACCATATGAATTTTTCATTTTGCTCTTCCCATCTCAGTCTATCTTCTCTTTGATTAGACTGCCTCTTGGTTAAAATTTTGCTGCCCTGTTCTGCATGTTCAGAACCACCCATCCCTTCACTTGTATCTCCTGAGCCACAGAGATGCCTTATGGCATGAAGATGCTCCTGCCTAGTGAACAAGAGGAGAGGAAAACAAGTTCTATGTCATGTCTATTATCCTCAAAATAACTTTCTCTTGCTGTCTTTCCTTGGAGAAATAATCCAATTCCACTTTGTCACATTACCTGGCAAAACCTCTAAAGGTCAGATTAAAATATAAGCAGTACAAGGGAGGGCTTAAATTACTTTCTCCAAGGATATATCCACTGGCATACCAGTCTGATCTGCAATCCGATCTCCTCTGGCTTGGCCAACCTGGGTTTCACATCCATAAGTCATCAGACAGGTTTTAATCAAACAGCTGAATATTGAAAGTTAACTTCTTTCCAACATGTAATTGTTTTAAGAAGATCTGAGCAAACTTTATACTAGCTTCCATAACTGTTAGAAGAGAACATATGAAGGCAGCATCCTTCTCAAAGGCTTTTTATGAGTCCCTGCAGTTTAAACTGGCAACTGACTGTTGCCTTTTCTTGCAAATTATCCATGTTACCAAGGTCCTTGTGAAGTTTGAGTAATTTCTGGGGCTGAAGCAAACTAGAGAATTATTTCCACAGGACTCCATTAAAAATATACAGCAGTAGAAAATCCAAACCCATCCAAATTTGGCAACAAATTGCTAAATTATTGCCTTAAACACACAGTGTGGCACTGAGTACAACAAGCCGGCTGATAAGCAGAAAAGCTTCTCAGAGAAGCTTGAGAAGCTCTTGTGCTGGCTTTTCAGGACACGCTCTTAGTTTCAGCAGGAAAAAGATTTAAATAATTTACAGAGAGCTTGTGCTTTTTTCTTTTCGCTAATATTGTTTTCCTAAAATGATAGACTGCTGTTGAGCATAAGTCCACTGAAACCTGCAGCCTCGCATCAAGATGCTTTTGTGGGAAGTTTTTATTCAAATTTTGCCTCTGGGAGAATATAATTTCAGATGCTAAGGGCACCTCTCAAATAAATATATGTGCATTAAAAATCCACTCCTTTCACCAAATCCTTGCTCCCCAAAAAATGCAACAAATACTACTTAACTGCTCATCAGATTATTCTTTAACAGGAATGACAACCACTGCCCAATATTAACAGCAGATAAATTTTCACTTCCTAAGAACATATTTTGTGTTATCAAATTAAGAACCACAAAGCTTTATATTCAACTTAATATAAACAATCTGAATTCAACTCAGGGTTGGTTTTGTTTTCCTTTTTTCTCTGACATCTCATTGTTCCTTGTACCACACATGTTACTAAGAAACAAAATCGCATTTGAATTTTAATGTATTTTTGCTTCTTCAGACTCTTGTGATAACACACTTGGAATCCTGTTTGCTTGGCAATGAGCAAGACAAAAATCCTTTTTGGGTGGAAAGGTTCCTAATTGAAGGAGTCTAATATTAAGTTCTGTGGCTTGGGTAGTGCGCCAAGATGCATCTGCACATCTCCTGCTCAGCCTCCTTTACTATCACTGGACTCCCATATTAATGCTATACCCAAGAATAGGAAGAGAAAGGCAGCAGGCATCTAACTGCATCAAGTCACCCTCTCACTGATGTTTACCTTCGTGATAACAGGTGACCAAGACAGAGATTTTAAGCATGCCGGCATTCAGCCTGCTATTAATCTACATGGGTGGTGGCCCTACCTTCCTCAGTGTTTCTGAACACCCACGGGTTTGGTAGCTCTTTCTTCCCAGGACCTGGTTAGACCCTATCATGCTTTTATTTAAGACCGCAATAATATTGAAAAATATTATAATAATTTTCTTGGGGTAAGCTTTCAAAAGAGCTGGGCTGTCTTATTAAAAAGGTTATAATGAAACAAGATTCAGATCAGAATAATTAAATTTTAAGATCTTCTGAATTATTTTTAAAAGGCAAAGTCTTTCCTACAGTGATTTATCCCTTTAAGTTTGCAGTCTCCTACAGAGCAAGCACTAGTTGAAGAGCTGATGTAGACTAATGCATTGAGTAACAACACTAAAAACTTTATTATTTACAAAGCTAGAGTACACATACAACGAGTTACAGCAGAAGTTGTCAACACAGCTTACATATCATTACCACCCAAAGGCATTAATAAGCTTTACACTACCATAGTGTAAAGTAGTTCATTCAGTTTTGCTGCAACTTCATTTTTTAAAAACAAATACTTAAGGTCCTTGCAATGAAATTTTGGCAGGCACATTAAAAAAAAAACACTTCTGTCACTCTGGAGTTAATAGAAATTTATCTCATGAAAATTAGGAAGCCCTGACTTAAGCTGTTTCTCTTGATGAAAGTTGGATGATGCCCCTTAGCACATCATCACCACTTCCAGCATCAGGGTTGACTGGGTGTCTAATCTAATTAGAATGACCAGTTGTTCACTTCTTTTTAACTAAACCTTGTAATGATCAAAGTTATCATCAGACTGAATGGAACATGTACTAGTGTTCACCTTTCTAGACATTTATTACATTTACCATTTAGCCAAAAGAACAAACAGATGTTTGAAGTTCAGCAAACGATTTGAAGTGCAACAGCAACAATTTATGTCCTAAATTCATCTGCACACTTCCAAGACCTCTGTTCAGTTAGGTCTAGATGCATCAATTTCCCAAAGTCAAGCTGTGACCTTGTGTGCCACCACACTTGAAAGGATATAAAGGTGATTCCAATCACAACTGCTACTTACTTATGCAAGAGAGAAAATATGTAAAAGTCACTTGCTGGCTTCGGAAACAAATCCACATGCCTGACAGCTGCCAGCAAAAGTAGGTGCGTAATTATCATATCTTTATGATACTGGTGGAAAAGAAACAGACCTTTTCACTGAAGAAAGATCTATCTGAGGATGATTACAGTAGTGACCTTTTTACTGCACCAGATTTAACCACAATAAACGGATTTAGTAAAACTAAGCACTAAGTGGCAACCTGAAAGTTTGCTCAAGAGAGGAGACTTAGTACACGAAAAATCAAGTAACAGCAAAACTAATAGTAAAAACTGCTGCCAACATTATTTCCTGCTGGAGTCACTTTTACAAACAGGTTGAACATGGACCCAGGAACAGTGTGAATATGTAGAATTCTATGATGTACTGCTCATGGTACTAGAGAACCAGGTGCCTTTTAGCTCTGCATTTCTAAAAGGAACTAAACAACCATCCTTTTGTTTCCTTTTCTAGGATTCAAACATCTCTCCTCTTTCCCTGCTCTTTCCAAATTTCTGTAACCGTATTTATCACAGAGGAGCCTGCAGCAGAGCCTGCAGCTCTGAATTCTTCACCATCATCAATTCTCCAAACCTTTAACTGGACAGAAAACCAGGCTATTCATGGATAATGCACCTAGGGGGCAGGAAAGTATGGGAAAGAGAGGTTTTCAGGACATGTCCCATTTGCACCCGTGTTTACATTGGTTCCTTGGTGGACTAGGGGGGAAGAGAAAAAGCATCTCATAGAAAAGCAGCCACACACACTGCCTGAAGTAGCCTGGAGGTCTCTTGATCTGGGGCTGTCCCCATCAAACTAGGTATGAATTGTGCAATATATGCACATTTGCTGCATCATTTAGATTACTCCAAAGCATTTGCTAATCATTTGGATTACTCCAAAGTACAAAAACTGTGCCACTGATGAACTAACCATATTGTAGCCGAGGACTAACCTGCAATAAACAGTACTTGTAAAAAGGCAAGGCTTGTGCAGGTAAAAACAGAGTACATCAGTCAAGTTCTTCAGAATTATGGAGAACAGTGTGCTCTTTACAAAAAAAAAACAAAACAAAAACAAAACAAACAAAAAAAACAAACAACCCAAATCTGTTCTGCCATTTCTACCCATTTGTTATCTTTCTTTCTCGTTGTGAAGCAAAACTAGGTATTTCTAAAAGGCTTTCTTCTGAACAGCGATTCACATGCATCGGTATTTTGGTACTTGTCTTCCAAATCTCAACTATTAATCTGAATTTAAATGAAAACATAGTTTTGTTGTACATAGCAATTTTCCCTCTACTCAGTGTACAGCCCAGGCCTTTACCCAGAATATTCATAAAAGAAATCAGATTACAGGAGAAGCACTGAAGACTTAGAGCAGGGTATCAGCACTGTCCAGTCTTTTTTCCTGCTTTTTTTTCAGTTGGTTTAGGGAGAAAACAATGACTTGTCCTGAAAAAATATATAAGTGCAACTTACTTTCTCTTGCAGATGTACACTACTAGGGTCAGATATGCTTCTTCCCATTCACAGTGGCTAAATTCAATACTATAATCGCTATAGAGCGCAATTAAGTAAGAAAGTGGAACATCTAAAGGAGGCTGCAAACCCAAAGAAGAGCTGGAGCAGAACCCTACTTCCCAATTAAATAACATGTCATTCAATATCAAAAATCAAAAATTATCTTACTTTTGACAGTTGCTGTCCTGGTACAATTGTAGAGGATGGCTAACTCCCCAAATACTTTGCCAGGTCCCATGGTGCACAGCTTTACACCTTCTTTTGTCACTTCAACCTTCCCATCTGCAAGAAAAAAAAGACCATTTTAAAAGGGAAATAAAGTTATTTCAGACTTTAGTTTTAAATAATTATTCTATTATACTGTGAATAAAACCAAAAGAGCCCTACACCTAGAAAACCAATTAAACATATTATGAAGGAGAGGAAGAACTTAGAAAAAGGTTAAAACCAACCATTGCATATATACGCTTTCAACACTTGAGATTTTTTTTAGTGGAGTATCTGTACAGTCAGGAAATACTTACTAGTAAACTAAGCTTTATGTGAACTTATTACAGTTTCAGATGATTTTTTTTCCTATTTTTGTTTAAAAAAGGAAAAGATTCAGGTCTTTAACACCACACATGAAAACCACAGAGTAATTTTGCTCATTTTCACTGAAAAACTAATCCCTGAGAACACTCATCCATGAATAACACAGCTATAATCAAAAGGAAGATTATTTTGACCCATGGCCATTATTTAATTCCCATCTCACCATATGTTTCCTTTTGAATATTTCATCTTATGAGAGAGCAAGTCTGCTTTATCTGCTTTATCAATCTCATGCCAAGAGGAGATATGTGAGGGGGATTTAAAAGCAAAAGTTGAATGGAACAGAAGCAGCTCAGGGGCAGTCTGGGGGTTTCAAAGGACATCTGAGGAACAAGAACCAGGAGAAGGGAAGAAACTGAAGATGGCCTCACCACCTGCACACACAGGTAATGCCACAAGAAGAAGGGAAAATGGGATTAGGGTTAGGGTCGTTTAACCACCATTTAGGCTGTAACAAAGTGCAAGACAGAGGGTGAGAATTTTAAATGTTATTAATCACTAAAAAGCCTCCTCTTACCCCAAACTGGGAAGCAGATTGTCTACACCAGCTCACATTGCATCACTGACTTGCTCTCTGTGGGTCTGTATGAGGCAAGAGGAAAGGTCAGCATTTACTGGCTCTTACCCAGCTCACAGCTATCTGCATTTGTGTGTTAGATACCAAACTAGGCCTCAAATGCCTGCATCGATAACTCTAATTATTTGATTAGAGATTATACAACCCTTTTCTCCTGCAGATGGAATCCAGAGGTACACACCTCAAAGCAAGATCGCTAAGGCAAAAAGAAACTTCCCCTACATAATATATACTCTAAAATACAGTCCTGCCAGCCCTGTATATCTGTGTGTAAATCTACACCACTCCACCCATGATATCCCTCAAAACAAGAATGACTCCAGCCTACCTCTGCTACTCTACCAAAATAACACACCAGTGAGAAAAAACAAACTTTGAGGAGCCCAAAACAAATTTCAATGCCATATCGCTGCTAGACACATAACAAAGTAATTGAAATTGAGCAGAAAACTTCAAGTACTTCCACAGCAGAATAAACAAAGGCAGTAACAGTATGTAGAGGTGAACGGAAGAAGGTATTGTATTAAGTTAAGGCAAACTTTAAAGGGTGCCTTAAAAGGGCATAACGTATTTTGGAGAGAAAGTGTTTTCACACTATCTGGTACAATAGATCCCAAGATCTAGTACTGGTTTTAAAAGTTAAATTTAAAAAAATCCCACATCATTTATGAAACTAAGAGTTACTGTTTGATAAATACCATGACCTAAAGGTTACCTGGTCTGTGGGAGCATAAAGATTGCAGCAGTGTATTCTGTAATACAGAAGCACAAAGAGGTTGAGGGGAAAGGGTGTCTGTTCGTTAAGTTTCTTTATTACAAGTTATTACTATTAAGCAAGTATGTATGCGTGTGTATACATATATATAATGCTACTATGAAATTGCTACCAGAAAGCAAGTACATATTTCAATATTAAAAACAAGTCTCTAAAATTATCACTCGTAAAGTAGAAAATATGCTTGCTTATATGAGTACATATATATGTGTGTGTGTGTGTGTGTGTGTGTGTGTGTATAAATATATATGCACACACATATTTACGGATTAGTAGGAGAAAATGTCATTTCTTTTGGGAGATGCTGACCAGTTATGGTGGGCTGGCAGTCACAGTGTGCAGAGTTCTGCAGCTCCCATCACGGCAGGGAGAAATACATAGGATGGTGAATGTGTGAAGGCAAACAAAGTATAATGGCATCTATCATATTAATACTAGCCATTGATACTGAACAGTTAGCACCTACTAAAGGTCTGTCAAGAATACACTCACCTATACTCACACAGTAAACAATTCCACTAATACTAAAATACACAATATAATATAATAAATAACCCTGAGAATTAAAATCTGAGGTTGCTGATTTACTGTTATCTTCAAATGGAGACAAATTCCATTATTGTGTAAATTAACTTCCATTTAACAGTAAATTTATCATTATCTTTTATAACTGTTTGATTCATTTGTTCATATTAAATACCAATCTAATATGAAGCACAAACCCAGGTATTTATCTCAAGAATGAGCATAATCAACCTTTAATAGTGCCTCACGCGCCTCACAGACTCCTAAACGACATTGAAGAATATACTTTTTTAATAGAACCGAGTTTCAGCAGAGATGAAATGGGGATATTGCTGTACAAAGCTCTACAACAAATATCCAAAAAGGAAATGAGTTTACCTCACTTTCAGATCCTGGAGTTGGAACCAGTTCCAGAGAAAAGAAAGCCAGATTTGAGCAGTAATGCACAAATAGATCATACCATTTAAAAGAGTTTTGAGATCTGTCCCACTGCTCAAGATGTTATTTGTTGCTTCCCAAAGCAATCCATGCTGATCATTCATCTTTGTAAGAAAGCCACATATATTCCCATATATTTTTTTATAAGGACTTCAAAGTAAGAAGCTGGGTTCTGATTCTTACAGCTCAGTGGGTTCTTTGGGGGGGGGGGAAGAATTTCCCAATGTACTAAAATATGTTGCTCGCTCACAATCATGCACGATTACAAGTCAATGATTCATCATCCACAGATGCCCTCCAAGGATTGAGAGGAAGAGCAGATGAAAATCCCCATGAGGGAGTGACCATGCTGGAAAGGACCACCTTGGGGTTCTAAAGAGCTTACTGGAGTAATACACAGAATTATTATCTCAGCTTCCATCAATTTATGGACTATTTTCCACATGTAGAAAATGGAGCTCTCACTGCTGTACCTTGATGACAAATTCCTGCTTGATCATCGCAAATGACTTTGAGATTTGCGATAGAAAGAACAATATTGCACAGATTATTTTTACTATAGTTTTCATGAGCCTTTTACTGCATCAACCATTTACCCCAGTACTCAAGAAGCATATTAGTGATCAAATTAAATACTAATTTTAAAAGTGTGGAGATTTCCTACCACAATATTATGGATACAGGCAAGAAAGTGTAAGGTAACGTTCTACAAAGCCAAAGCAAACTAATTCCACTTATAGAAGAAAGGATCAACTTCCAAAGGCAGAAATTACTTAGATTTGCATGTAGTTATCTCATCATCACCTTCGGGATTCAAGCAGCAGCTATAAAGTTGAGCAGAAAACCATAACTTTCAGGAAACCCCTGGACAAGCACAAATTGCTCAAATTCAATACCGTTTCTATTTCACAGCAAACCCAAAAATCCATAGACATTAAACAAAAGATTACAGTAAATTTTTTTCATGATCCAAGATGGTGTATGGTTTGGATATTAAACAAAAAAAAAAGACAAGCATTAGTATTGATGAATTCAGCCAGGATTTGCTATAAACAGAACTGCTAACATTTGTAGGTGGTTATCAATAACCCCTCTTAACCGCTTAGCAATTTAGAAGTGCTCTGTTTATAAAAAAGAAGAATGATTTAAATGCTCATTTAACATTTGCATTCAAACTAGTTTTATTCCTAATTTAGTTGTTTGAAGCATAGTTTGCAGAAAAGACACAAGACTCTGGGCACGGTTCATGCTACAGAACCCAATTCTTCCAGAAGTATATGACATGACATGATGCACAGGCTTTGTCAAAATAAAACTAAAACTTGTTTTCTTAAAAGATAATGAATATGAATTTCATGTGCAGTCATTTAAAAGCATTTTCTCAGTTCTGCTATGGAAGTGCTGTTTTGATACCAGCACCCATTTCTTACTTTATGAATTTGAATATAAAGTTACTACACACATGAAATGGCTCTTATAAAATGTATTCTGTTGAAACAATCAGAAGGAATGCAAGAATGTGATGATGGAATTTGCAGAAAAGCCTCCCTAAATCAGTTTGAACATGAAAGCAACATCTTTCCTGCAAAGCATCAACAAATCTCCTCTAGACCCACAGTGCTCTCCTCCAAAGATTTTGCTTAAAGAAACATAAACAATGCCTTAGCAAGGCTGTATTTTACATTCCCACCTTGCAAACTGAGTGGCAACGCATTGCTCAGGTTGCAAAACATGTCTGGGTTAGTCCCCAGTGACCTCACTACTGAAACGCACTGGTGATGCATCAGTGTTTCAAACAACAGCTCATGATGACACTGTTTCTGCCTTGTGCTAAGCCCAGGGCACAAAGCTCACCACAGACTGATCCACCTCTGCACCACAAGTAATGCAAGTTAAAGTTACTGGGTTAAAGTACACTGCCTTTCCCCACCACCCTTCCTGGCTTTTAATGGAATGCCATGGGGTTGTCCTCACAGGGCTCCCTGCAAGGACGAGCTGGTCCTTGCTCTCAAGCTGTGCAACCTCCAGACACAGCCAAACACAGTCTCTAAGAGATCTTTAGGAATTATCTGATCAGCTCAAGAAGTGATCAGAGCACAAGAATCCACTTGGCTCCAAGCCCAACTCTGCTGCTGCTTCTCCCTTTTTCCAGAGCTCTTCCATGCTTCTGATGCCAGAGCTGAGCAGCTCCTCGGTCCTCCTCAGACAGCTGTATTCTTCTACCAAGCCATTCCACCAAAGACTTCATTAGACAAACTCAGCTGCTGCAGGTTTTTTTCTAAGTACTTAAGAGAAAGAATAAAGTAGCCTGAGGAACACTGGAATTGAAAGGCAAAAGGTATTCAATCTTTGACACTACAGGAAAAGAAGAGA